AAAAAAAAAAAAAGTAAAGTTTAAAAAGGTGAAGAATGCAAATAAAAGAAGCGGCCATGAAAGGTGGACAATCACATTTAGGACATTCGGCTGTGGCGTGAACGTTTCCTTAATTTCACACAGAGCCGTATTTTCTGGTGCAATTTTAACTTGCCGAACCACTTAAAACTCTTTCCACACAAAGAACACAAATAGGGTTTCACGTTTTCGTGATTTTTCATGTGTATCTTTAAGTGTAATGGCAAAATAAATGTTTTGTTACACTGATCACAATGAAATGGCCTTCCTCCAGAGTGAATGCGCTGGTGATTTTTAAAATTGCGTTTTTTTCTAAACCTCTTGTCACATTTAGAACTTTGCCATTTCTGTCCAGAATGACTTTGCAAATGACGTTTCAGGTCTCTTTGATATGTGAAACTCCTGTCACACTGAAGACACGAAAAAGGCTTCTCTCCAGTGTGAAGCCTCATGTGAGTCTTAAGATTTCCTTTTAGCGAGAAGCTCTTCCTACACAGTTTGCAGGTGTAAGGTTTCTCTCCAGTGTGAGTTATCATGTGAGTGCTGAGGCTTTTTTTATGACTGAAACTCTTTCCACACTGATTACATTTAAAACAGTCCTCTCCTGAGTGAATCCTTGTGTGGTAATTAAGGGTTACTTTACGTGTGAAACGCTTTCCACACTGACCACATACAAACGGCTTCTCTCCAGTGTGAATGTTCTTGTGATATCTAAGGTTTAGTTCTGTTGTGAAGCTCTTTTCACAGTGATCACAGGTGAACAGCTTCTCTCCAGTGTGAATTCTTACGTGGGAATTAAGGGTGTTTTTATGTGCAAATCTCTGTCCACACTCAGAGCAAGTATAAGGCTTTTCTCCGGTGTGAGTTCTCATGTGGACTTTAAGGTTTCCTTTTTGAGTGAAACTGCTCCCACACTGTTGGCAGGTGAAAGAACTCTCTCCAGTGTGAATTCTCATGTGGATATCAAGGTTTTGTTTTTTAGTGAAACGTTTTCCACACTGTTTGCAGATGAAAGAGTTCTCTCCAGTATGGAGTCTCATATGGACTGTAAGGTTTTGTTTCTGACTGAAACTCTTTCCACACTGTTGGCAAGTGTAAGGCTTCTCTCCAGTGTGAACTCTCATGTGGACTGTAAGG